TCTACCAGATAATGTGGATAATCAGTTTTTGAATCTGTAATATTGTAAAAAGTACAATACATGTACTAACTTCGCTAAATGGAACATGAAATATTTATTGTATTTTTTGAACATGTCGTAATAAGCCTACAAATGTCCAAATTTACGATAAACCAGGCGAAAGTTGTACAACCACAGCGAAGTCTTTAAGTTGGTGTATAATGACAACGTTCAAATGTACATAACTTTTGTTAAAGTGTTTGTTGTTAAGCACGAAAACATATAGAATGGGTTGTGTTCTTACTAAATTTTAGGGTTATAATCCTGCAGATTTATCGCTGAGCCACTGGGGGCTTAAATGTACACAAGAGAATTCAACATTGTTAAAACCTACACATATTTCATTGTGTTACAAGAAAATTGTTTATTCAACAGACAGGGTAAGCTGGCAGTTGTATTGTTCATTCAAAAGGAAAATTTTGGCACAATTATACTGTCAGAAAAGATATTGTTAAAACTAAGAAATGTTGCCTACCTAAACTTGATCACAGAGTAAGTCAAGGTCACGTTCTTATTCATCTTTAATCATTTCTATCAAGCAATACTTTTAATGTGTACACCTTACAACCGATTGAAGTTTTTTGGTCGAAACGGCTGAAACTGAGTTAAGAAAATAAGGGAGATACAGCAAAAGTAACAATGAATATTAATGAAAATTAATAGTAACATGCTCGACAAACAACTTAGAAAAATCTTTATAATATAAATATACTTCTGGACAAGCAGTGAACGATTTTCGACAAGATACGTCTGAGAACTACCATCAACTCCTTATATTAACATGCAGGTCCCCACGGATACGTAACAATACCAAAACAAATGTATGAAACGCACCTTCGTGATAGCAGAGGAAGATTCTATCTCTTCGCTGGTATAACAATGACCAACGCTTCTGTAAAATATTAAAACCTGACAAAACGTGTTTATAATTAATGTTTGTATCTGAAAGGATATAGCATGTATTACAGCCAGAGTTACAAGTTGGTGCGTCTGAAATGTGTGTACAGCTATATCAGGAAAATTGGCTAAAGAATCTCTCACTGGTATAACTTAACCCTTAGGGTATAGACTCTGCAGTTTGTTTACTGTTGATTCAGAATACTAGAACGGTCGTTTCAGACTGGCAGAACGTAGGAATACGAAATGTTAAACGGTTTGTCCTTTCTTGTACCTAACAACTGATATCTGATCAACATTATTCTGTCGTCAGTATACTCAGACAGAAAAAATCTGATGTTAGACACCCCCCATGTCGAACTTTGGTGAACTGATTATCCACATTATCTGGTAGACACCCCCGTGTCGAACTTTGGTGAACTGATTATCCACATTATCTGGTAGACACCCCCCGTGTCGAACTTTGGTGAACTGATTATCCACATTATCTGGTAGACACCCCCCGTGTCGAACTTTGGTGGTAATTATAATTTATTAAAATATGATAAACTAAAAACTTTTTTCGTAGTGTGTATACTTCCAGCCTGCACACCAAAACACTTCATTACACACAGTGTGACTACTTCCAACTTGCACACTATAACACTTCACTACACATAGTCTGTATACTTCCAGCCTGCACACCAAAACACTTCACTACACATAGTGTGTATACTTCCAGCCTGCGCACCAAAACACTTCACTACACACAGTGTGACTACTTCCAACCTGCACACCAAAACACTTCACCACAGTGTGACTACTTCCAACATGCACTCCAAAACACTTCACTACACACAGTGTGACTACTTCCAGCCTGCACACTAAAACACTTTACTACACCTAGGATGTGCCTTTCAAACCTAGAGCCCCAAGTGATAGATTAGTTACAACCCAAAGTACTTATTACAGTCTTTGATCAGTAAGCCATTATGTGCGTTATAAGAAAGTAGATAATCTACCGTATACTTCTTACCGCGCCGCACAGTATCCTCGTTATGACTTGCTTCAAGAAGTAATGTCTGCTTTCCAACTAGCCCCACTGGAAGCCAAGAGTTCGACTGGTAAAAAGTGCAGAAACTAGTAACAAAACATTGTATTCTAAAATTGTTGTATGGAAAAATATCAGAAACTAGAGAACACATGTCACTTTCTAAGGCTGATTTTGATCGTGCTATAACCTACATGCAACTTTTTAAGGGTGATTTTGATAGTGCTATAACCCACATGTAACTTTCTAAGGCTGATTTTGATCGTGCTATAACCCACATGTAACTTTCTAAGGCTGATTTTGATCGTGCTATAACCCACAAGTAACTTTCTAAGATTGATTTTTATCGTGCCATATCCCACATGTAACTTTCTAAGGCTGATTTTGATCGTGCTATAATCAACATGTAACTTTCTAAGGCTGATTTTGATCGTGCTATAACCCACATATGACTTTCTAAGACTGATTTTGATCGTGCCATAACCCACGTGTAACTTTCTAAGGCTGATTTTTATTATAAAGTTATCGTTACTTATCAATAAAAACTAAAATAATAGTTTTATATTTTTAATCTCCAATGACACCTTATGCTACACAGAGGCAAAATGACCAGATCAGACAGCCAAAGGTTGAGACATAGCCGTTCCTGATTCAGAATTACTGAACTGTTGGAAGGCAACCGGTCAGCAGCATCCACCGCCTACATAGCTGGTTTTATGGGAATATCAGGATTGTTATTTTCATAATGTACCCTGATCTTAAGATGCGGAGCACGTTAAGAGGCATATCGCCAGCTCGAACCTTAGAGGTTTTAGTAAACAGCAAGTTACCAACAGATCACCACAAGAATGGTCCAATATTAAGAAACGTCCGTACATCAGTTATTAGGAGGTGTTAACTTTATAGCCAAATCATTAATTACTAGCAAATACTGTGCAGAGCAAGTGTCGCTATCCGATTTTAATAAAATTATTAAACAAGAAGATCCTTTATTAATGTGAATCACGGTAATTTTGATAACACAGAATTGAACTTAGAATGATATTACACAATGTTTATCAAAAAATATTTTAAGAAACACAAGAATTAGTTTCTTAAACCTTAATTGTGAATAATACGAAATTTCAGGGAAACATCTTTCTGCTTATATAATAGATATCAGAAAAGTTGCTAAAAGTCGTCAATAAAATTAGAATTAACAATAATTAGTCTTAATTATGCACGACATGCAAACTAAAAAAAAAAACCTTTATGGCCACTCTGCTAATTGTGATTTTTTTAAAGAACCTTCCAGTTTGTTTGGTTTTAGTTAAACACAAAGCTACATAAAGGACTAATTTGTGCTCTGCCCACCACGAGTATCGAAACCCGGTTTCTAGCGTCGTAAGTCCGCAGACATACCGCTGTGCCACTAAACGGTAGAACCTTTCACTAAACCAGGAAATAATTTAATGCAAGGCCAGCTGTTGTAAATGTTTCGATGTTGTGAAAAACGTGTTTCATGTACGAGTCAAATTCACTTGGCTGTTCTTAGAAGCGTAAGAAAAAAAACAAACATTTCATATATTAATAAAACAGGAAAGTGATTCACTTATCGAAAAAGTTCCTATTGTGTTTCTCCAGACTGCTGGAAGGGGGGGGGGGTAAAATATGTGCTGGATTTAATGTCAAACGTTCTGGTGGCTTTTGAGAATGACATTGTGTAAAAGGACATATACTAATTACAGTTTCAAAGAGACCAATATGTGAAACACGTGTGTGTCAGTTTTTAAGCCACTTTATGCATTGCTTTTTTTATGAGTGTTCTCATAAAAAAAATCAGTTTCTACATTATCTGGCATGAGCAGCTGGCACAGACCATTACTATTAAAATACAGAATAACGTTTAAAATAACTCATTTTCTTGATCATATCAAGAGTTTGGACTTCGTACAAGTTTTATTGTCAAATTTCAGCCACTGTATCATTTAGCAAAAACATGATGAATGAGACAAGTGTTATGTACATATTCGCATAATAATTGATGAGCTTCATTAAATGTCATTACAATAAAAAAATGTAGTCTATAACACAATAAAATAGAAATAGTTTATCCTTTCTATTCTACAATATTCATAAATCTCATTGGGATGGGTCAAAGATTTTGTCTTTACTTGTTCAACTCTGGTATCGTTTGGATGGGTCAAAGATTATGCCTTTGCTTGTTCAACTCGGGTATTGTTGGGACAGGTCAAAAATTTTGCCTTTGCCTGTTCAACTCGGGTATAGTTGGGACGGGTCAAAGATGTTATTTTGCCTTTACTTGTTCAACTCGGGTATCGTTGGGATGGATCAAAGATTTTGCCTTTACTCGTTTAACTCGGGTATTGTTGGGATGGGTCAAAGATTTTGCCTTTACTTGTTCAACTCGGGTATTGTTGGGATGGGTCAAAGATTTTGCCTTTACTTGTTCAACTCTGGTATTGTTGGGATGGGTCAAAGATTTTGTCTTTACTTGTTCAACTCTGGTATTGTTGGGATGGTGCAAAGATTTTGCCTTTACTTGTTTAACTCGGGTATTGTTGGGACAGGTCAAAAATTTTGCCTTTAATTGTTCAACTCGGGTATCGTTGGGATGGGTCAAACGATTTTGCCTTTACTTGTTCAACTCGGGTATTGTTGGGACGAGTCGAAGATTTTGTCTTTACTTGTTCAACTCGGGTATTGTTGGGATGGGGCAAAGATTTTGTCTTTACTTGTTCAACTCGGGTATTGTTGAGACATGTCAAAGATTTTGCCTTTACTTGTTCAACTCGGGTATTGTTGGGATGGGGCAAAGATTTTGTCTTTACTTGTTCAACTCGGGTATTGTTGAGACGAGTCGAAGCTTTTGTCTTTACTTGTTCAACTCGGGTATCGTTTGGACAGGTCAAAGATTTTGCCTTTACTTGTTCAACTCAGTTATTGTTGAGACATGTCAAAGATTTTGCCTTTACTTGTTCAACTCGGGTATTGTTGAGACGGGTCAAAGATTTTGCCTTTACTTGTTCAACTCGGTTATTGTTTCACTTTCATGTAGGTATGAATGGTTAATATACCTCTCCATCTGCACATATTTTACATAGATTTGAATACTACGATTCTTCAAAAGTAAAAACCGGATATCATCTATGTTCGTGATAAATTGGTTCTTACGTCTTTTTGGAATTTATCTTGCATCTATGTTAACATATAAAATGTGAAAAACATTATATGGTATAAAACCTATCCACGTATTTTCTTACAAAAAACACACACACATGCTATGAATGTATTATGGAAAACTGATCCAAGTTCATTTCTTTAAAAAAAATTAAATAAAAACTGCAATAGAATTAAACAATAACACAAGTTTAGTCCATTATATTTTTATTACCATTTTGTGTCCATTGCTCAACTAAAGTTTTCTGAAAAATTGACACGAAAATGTTTCCGAATGTCCGAATCCGTTATAAAAATGGATGTTGTAATACTATTACTAAAACAAACTAATACAAACAACTAGATGGATAGATAATTACAAGACCAAAACACTTCACTACATACAGTGTGACTACTTCCAACCTGCAGACCAAAACACTTCACTACACACAGTGTGAATACTTCCAACCTGCAGACCAAAACACTTCACTACATACAGTGTGACTACTTCCAACCTGCAGACCAAAACACTTCACTACACATTCTTGTGTTTTGCAAGGCTTCTGCTGACATTCAAGGTTGTATATTTCTGTCTGGTGTGTATAAGTTAAATATTATAGTACCAGTGTCTTGCCAGGCTTCTGCTGACATTCATGGCTGTTATATCTTTCTGTTTTGCAAGTATATGATATTGAATCCGACAGTCACCATCCCGCAGAGCTAAGATGCCCTGCAACATCAAATAAACAACAACAACAAAAAGCCAGAACAGCTGTACTCTGTAATGTAGAAATAGGTAAGACAAAATTCGCTCAGGACCAGAACTCACAGAAAAGTATATAAGTTCAATGTATAAAAATAATACAAAAGAAAACGGTAAAGATTAAACTCTATCTAGTTACAATTATTATTAGTTTATTCAAGCTTTGCTTTAAAGTTTAGTAATGACTCCGATTATGCTACGAACCAAAGCTTCATTACTCACTGATTTTGCGCTTCTTAACTCACATTACTTAACTCACAGCTAGCATTGTTTAAAAATACATACGTTCTCAATGACTGAACCGATGTAATATTACTGAATATAAGTTTTCAATAGTTATTAAGAAACATTTTCATCTATGCGACTGTGGAAAAAGGGTTAGTGGACAGTTAGAAGACCTTCTGAAAAATCTTGCTTGGCGTCTTTCAGACCATTACTGTGCAGCTGGCTATAGAAGTCGTGCACCGACGTCAAAAAGTCACGTGGTTTATAACTTACTCCGCCATATTGAACGAAAAGTGCTGACATTCGCTTGAAAAATGACTAATTTGCCTTCTAATATAGTGCTGTGTGACGCCATAAATCATGTCGGTGATGTGCATAAAGTATACCAGAGAACTGAACAGCTTTTCCACAGCTGATCACAGAACTAAAACATTCAAATCATATATTGATATGGATTACTAGAGGGGAAAGTTTGACGTCCAATATGGCGGCGATAAATGTAACAGGAAGTTGTGTAATGTCACGTGCAAAGATCTCCGTACTTCACGGTTTGGATCTGGGAACTAGTTTTAATAACACTACTTTAGAATTATTTTCATTAACCTATCACGTAGCATCCAGTCAGTGAAGTTTGTAGAAAGAAATACGTTGGATATATTTGCCTAGTCAAAAAGTGGACCTAGCTGCATAAGAGCTACCAGTGCTGGCCGTCTCTAATTCCGAATTGATAAGGCAAGAGGGAAGACAGATAGTCAATAGTACACTTACCGTCAATTCTTGGGCTACTGTAAACGAATAGTAAAATCTAAACGTCACTGTTATAACGCCACCATGGCCCAAAGTGCGAAGCGCGATTTTTAGCATTAACGAGACATGAACCTTGGACCCTCGGATCCACAGTCCATCACACTTAGGTGAATAAAATCATTCCATGCAGATGGAACAGACGTACCAACTTTCGAAACATAACGGATATACTGGGTTTCACGTTTAGATAAATGTCCACCTATTTTACAAACTTGCCAATGACACATTAGGCTTGAACGTAAGTGAAAATTTTTGTCTTCCTTTTAACGATTTTATTCATTCTTTTTCTCATATATAGAATGTTAAAATATGTCAGAAATATACATGCACAAATTATGCCAGCGTACAAGATGATTATCAAAAAGAAATAAAAACAAAATATCGTGTAAAGCTGTTCCTAATTTTACATTGACCAAGGAAAGACAGCTGGTCAACAACATCTACCGCCATTCTGGCTAATATTGTCTGAACAAGTAGTAGGACTTCGTTTGGTTTGCTTTTAGTTTCGCGTAAAGCTACTCGATGGCTATCTGCGCTAACCGTCCCTATATTAGGAGTGATAGAGTAGAGGGAAAGTAGCTAGTCAATACCATCCACCGTCAACTCTTGGGCTACTCTTTTATCAACGAAAAGTAGGATTGGCCGTCACATTATAACTCTCCCACGGCTGAATGGGCGAGCATATTTGATAACGGGGGTTCGAATCCGCAACCTGGAGACGGCAGGACTTGACTGTCATTTTTTTAGCGCACTTGTAGCCTCAAAGTGTGGAGCGCGATAACAGAACGCATAATTTGAAGCTTGGAACCCACAGTACGGGCACGCTAACCATTAGACTACAAAAATATCGGAATAAATTAAGCAAAATCCAGATTACTTTTTAAGTGAATCCAACGGAGCGCGGTAGCGATCCCTATGTTGGGATGAGTACGGTTGAAATTAGCGGCTTGTACGCTTCGTACGGTAGTGTACGCTAGGACTTCGGAAAACCCAGCCAAAAGGATAGAAACGAAAAGCCCTTCACTAATAAAGTACAAAACTGCCTCTAAAGTTCGACTAATCTTCCTGGACTTCTTGAAAACGGGCTGAAAAAACATCGATTTTCTTTTTCTCCGTCAGCTGTAACTCTTAAACCACAGTGTGACTACTTCCAACCTGCAAACCAAAACACTTCACTACATACAGTGTGACTACTTCCAACCTGCAGACCAAAACACTTCACTACATACAGTGTGACTACTTCCAACCTGCAGACTAAAACACTTCACTACATACAGTGTAACTACTTCCAACCTGCAAACCAAAACACTTCACTACACACAGTGTGACTACCTTCAACCTGCAAACCAAAACACTTCACTACACACAGTGTGACTACTTCCAACCTGCAGACCAAAACACTTCACTACATACAGTGTGACTACTTCCAACCTGCAAACCAAAACACTTCACTACACACAGTGTGACTACCTTCAACCTGCAAACCAAAACACTTCACTACACACAGTGTGACTACTTCCAACCTGCAGACCAAAACACTTCACTACATACAGTGTGACTACTTCCAACCTGCTCTTTAATATTCAACTTATACACACAGACAGAAATATACCACAACCTTGAATGCCAGCAGAAGCCTTGCAAAACACAGGTACTATAATATTTAACTTATACACACAGACAGAAATATACAACAACCTTGAATGTCAGCAGAAGCCTTGCAAAACACAAGAACTTTAATATTCAACTTATACACACAGACAGAAATATACAACAACCTTGAATGTCAGCAGAAGCCTTGCAAAACACAAGTACTTTAATATTCAACTTATACACACAGACAGAAATATACCACAACCTTGAATGTCAGCAGAAGCCTTGCAAAACACAAGTACTTTAATATTCAACTTATACCCACAGACAGAAATATACAACAACCTTGAATGCCAGCAGAAGCCTTGCAAAACACAAGTACTTTAATATTCAACTTATACACACAAACAGAAAGATACAACAACCTTGAATGTCAGCAGAAGCCTTGCAAAACACA